TAGCCAGAAATAGCATAAAATATCTTGGGGTAACTCTAACCAAGGAAGTGAAAGACCTATTTGACAAGAACTTTAAGTCTTTGAAGAAAGAAATGAAGGAGTTTACCAGAAAATGGAAAGATCTCCCCTGCTCTTGGATTGGGAGAATCAACAGTAAAAATGGCAATTCTACCAAAAGCAATCTATAGATTCAATGCAATCCCCATCAAAATCCCATCAAACTTCTTCACAGACCTTGAGAGAACAATAATCAAGTTTATATGGCAAAACAAAAAACCCAGGATAGCCAAAACAATCTTATACAATAAAGGAACTTCTGGAGGCATTACCATCCCTGACTTCAAACTCTATTACAGAGCGACAGTATTGAAAACAGCTTGGTATTGGCATAACAACAGAGAAATCGACCTATGGAATCGAATAGAAGACCCGGATATTAACCCACAAACCTATGAACACCTGATTTTCGACAAGGGAGCTAAAGGTATACAATGGAAGAAGGAAAGCATCTTTAACAAATGGTGCTGGCATAACTGGATGTCAACCTGTAGAAGAATGAAAGTAGATCCATATCTATCACCATGCACAATACTCAAGTCCAAATGGATTAAAGACATCCACATTAATCCGACCACTTTGAACCTGATAGAAGAGAAAGTGGGAAGTAGTCTACAAGATATAGTCACAGGAGACCACTTCCTAAGTAGAACCCCAGTAGCACAGACAATAAGAGAATCAATGAATAAATGGGACCTACTGAAACTGAGAAGCTTCTGTAAAGCAAAGGACACTGTCAGCAAGACAAAAATACTACCTTCCAAATGGGAGAAGATCTTCACCAACCCTCATCAGACAAATGTCTGATCTTCAAAATATACAAAGAACTCAAGAAACTAGACACTAAAACTCTAATTAACCCAATTAAAAAATGGGATACTGAACTGAACAGAGAATTCACAACAGATGAACTTCGAATGGCCAAAAGGCACTTAAGGTCATGCTCAACCTCCTTAGCGATCAGGGAAATGCAAATCAAAACAACTTTGAGATACCATCTTACACCTTTCAGAATAGCCAAACTCAAAAACACCAATGACAGCCTATGCTGGAGAGGATGTGGAGTAAGGGGAACACTCATCCATTGTTGGTGGGAATGCAAACTTGTGCAGCCACTGTGGAAATCAGTGTGGCGGTTTCTCAGGAAACTGGGAGTCAACCTCCCTCAGAATCCAGCAATTCCACTCTTGGGAATATACCCAAGAGATGCCCTATCATACTACAAAAGCATTTGTTCAACTATGTTCATAGCAGCACTATTTGTAATAGCCAGAACATGGAAACAACCTAGGTGCCCCTCAATAGAAGACAGGCTAAAGAAGGTGTGGAACATATACACATTAGAGTTTTACTCAGCGGTAAAAAATAATGACATCTTGAATTTTGCATGCAAATGGATGGAAATAGAAAACGCTTTACTGAGTGAGGTAATCCAGACCCAAAAAGAGGAATATGGTATGTACTCAGTCATAAGTGAATTCTAGCCATAGTTAAAGGTCTTTGAGTCTATAATTCGTGATCCTAGAGAAGCTAAATAAGAAGGTGAACCTGAGGAAAATCATATAGTTATCCTCCTGGATATTGAAGTAGACAAGATTGCCAGGCAAACTTGGGTGCACAGGGGGTAGGGGGTGGAAGTAAGGGGAGATGGTTAGAGAGAAGGGAGGGGGGAGGATAGGGGATGGCTTGGGGGAATGGGATGGGGGGAGGGAGGAAGAATGGATATGGGAGCAGAGAGGTATATATCTCAACTAAGGGAGCCATTTTAGGGTTTGCAAGAGACTTGATTCTGGAGGGGTTCCCAGGCCCAAGGAGAGGTTCCCAGATTGTTCGCTGGGCAGCAGAGAAGAGGGTGCTTGAACTGGCCTTGGCCCATAACCATACTGATTAATATTTTGCATATCACCATAGAACCTTCATCTGGCGATGGATGGAGATAGAGACAGAGACACATATTGGAACACTGGACTTAACTCCCTAGGTCCAAATGAGAAGCAGAAGGAGGGAGAATGTGAGCAAGGAAGGCAGGACCAGAGGGAACCCTCATCTGACGATAGATGGAGATAGAGACGGAGACCCACATTGGAGCACTGGACTGAGCCCCCAAGGTCCAAATAAGGAGCAGAAGTAGGGAGAACATGAAAAAGGAAATCAGGACCGTGATGGGTGCATTCACCCTGTGATACAAGGGGACTGATCGAATGAGAGCTCACCAAGGCCTGCTGGACTGGGACTGAACGAGCATGTGATCAAACCGGAGTCTCTGAATGTGGCTGACATGGGGGCTGACTGAGAAGCCATTGACAATGGCATTGGGTCTTGTTTTGTCTCCATGTACTGGCTTTTTGGGATCCTAGTCTGGCTGGATGCTCACCTTCCTAGACCTGGAGGGAGAGGGGAGGAACTTGAACTTCCCACAGGGCAGGAAACCCTGACTGCTCTTAGGACTGGAGAGGGAGGAGGAGAGGGAGTGGGGGGGGGGAGAGGGAGTGGGGGGAATGGGAGGGTATGGGGAGGAGGGGAGGAAGTGGAAATTTTTATAAACAAATAAACAAATAAATTTAAAAAAAATAAATAAATAGTATATACAATAAAAAGAGAGAGAGAGATTTTAAACATTTACTTTCTAAATGATACAAAAATCGGAATAAGTTTTAGAACAAATTTCTATTCAGCTAAGTTGAAGAAATATTTTGTAAGGTTTAATAAAATATATGCATATACAGATATAGATATATATTCTCCATGACAGAATTTAAGTGTGTAGAATGTCTACTATTATTTTACAGAGCAAGTCTACAAAGGTTGAACATTGAGGAAGGGGAGGGGAGGTGGGATGTACAGTTAAATGTACGCTATTATATTGTTTTAGCTCTTGAGTTTTATGTTCAGAGGACTTTAATAGATTACACTAGAATGTTCATAGTATGTCATGAATCAATAAAGTTCAAAAAGAAAAAAAATAGGCCAAAAAAGCCAGAGGATTTAAAGGTAGGGACAATGACTGGCAGAGATATGACTACCACAGTAAGCAGCATATAGTTAAATACATTACTAAGGAAATTTCTAAATATCAAAAATAATTTTGCATGACCAACAATGTAATCTTCACTTTATCTAACACAACTTGGTCACCTTCACATCCTATAAGTCTTGTAATTACAATGGAATACAAATGCATGTTAGGGCAGCTGATTGTAACCCTGTAGGCCACAGTCACACTAAGTCACTGGAAATCTCTTTCCCTAAGTGGCTCTGCTGAAAACAGAGAACTGGAGTAATGCTTTCAGGCCACCACCAATTAGGCAGTCAGCAGGTGTTGGGAAAGGGAGAGCATGACAAACAGGACGTACCTTCCCACAGGGCACTCAACAACTGTGCATTGGCTACTGACATCAGTGAAGGCTCAGACAGCTCTGGCTCACATTAGCACTGACTCTTCCATGCGCATACCACCCGGTACCCGCCATTTCTAACCCTGACCACCCAGTCTTCTCTGCTCTGCAGCTGCACTGGAGCAGAGCTCCTCAGTTGTTCTCACTCTTGGCATTTTTAAACTTTACTACAAACTACTAATCAAAACGTAAAACCTAAAAACAGTTTTAAATACCATTAAAATGTCATTTCATTTGTAATGATTTTTGTTAAAATGTAATTCTAACCACTAGCATAAATTTGAGTATTACTCTCCAGGGGTATAAAATGCTAAATAATTTGTCCAAATGTCAAATGTAATTTTCAAAATTCTTTCTTGCCAAAATTTTAAACATTAATAGAAAACACTTGTTTTGCGAATGGTTTATGACATTTGGTCTTTTGTTGTACGCACCACAAAATTCAGACCTCAAATACCGTGCAGGGGGGACATCTGATCACCCCACAGTAACTATCCACAGGGCCCAATATCACGTATTACAGACCTAACCCCACCGTGTAATCAGTTGTACTCTGTCTCTCTGAAATGTGTCTTTATAGAACATCAGCCTTCGAACTTCTACCTTCCCACTGAGGAAATCAGTGTCTGGGTGATTTTCCTTCTTTTAAAGTAGAGCACCACATGGGTGGTATAACCAAGCCCAGATTTATTTTAAAAAACTTAAAGTAAGAGATGAGGTTACGAACTATTAATTACCAGATATAATTATAAAAGGAAACAAGGCTGCAATATCACTACAAATTTATGAACAATCTGAAATACTAAAAGTTCACAAAATAAATTTTTGTGAGAATGTAACACTGGTCTATTCTTTTTTCCAGAATCATATTTTTAAGTGAAGATGGATATTGTAGATTTAGAATCAAAGATCACATAAACTAATAAAAACAAAAAAATTATAAAAGCCCAGTGAGTTACTCTAATAAACTATCTACTTCAAACAGGAAATAACTCTATTAGTTCATAAATAACCCTAATAGCACAGAAACTAAAATTTTTATCTAAGATAAGACTTATACACTAAAACTGTCTTATAGATCTCATAAAGAATGGCATTTCAATCAAACTTGTCAGTTCTCTTCAGACTGGAAAGCAATCAGGCAATGCTGGGGCAGGGATACCCAAGTACAGTCCTAGCACAAAGGCCTACAAACCAAGGTCTTGTTCCAGAGAGCCAAATCAATAAACATTCAGCGTGCTGAGGATACAGGTAATGCGAACTCTACATAAACATTCAGCGTGCTGAGGATACAGGTAATGAGAACTCTACATCATCCCTAGTAAGGTTACAATTGACTAATCAAAATCTTTTAAAATAAATAAAAACAAAAAAACACCCTTTAGATCTTTATCAAAATGTAAAAACAGCTCTTTGTAAATAATTATGTTACTTTAATGGACATGCAGAAAGTAAGTACATAGATTTATGTGACAGTTGACATACCCTAAAGCAAATAAAATTAACTGTGGAAAGTAGCTAACATTAACAGGCTCAGTAGTTTCTTACCTGGATTCCATCTTTAAGTTTCAAGATGCATTCCATTGTATTGATCGTAATGACCACAGGCTCGGAGCCCAGTTTTGTCCACGGTACATGAATCCTCAGCTCATGAATATGGCCACTTAAAAACGTGAATGGTAACTTCAGTTCCTTAAAACACAAAATTATAAATAAAAGTTAGTAAATACAAAAGTGTTTTTATTCTCATATAAGTTCTTTCCTTAAAGGAAAAAATTTTTTTCAAAAAAAATTGAGGGACATTACTACTTATCAAAAATTAGAATCAACAGCCAAGCAGTGGCAGTGCATGCCTTTAATCCCAGCACTCAGGAGGCAGAGGTAGGTGGATCTCTGTGAGTTTGAGGGCAGCCTGGTCTACAGTAAGTCAAGGACAGGCAAAGCTTTTCACAAGAGAAACCCTGTCTCAAAAAACTGGGAAAAATAAAAAACAGAAAGTTAAAGTATAGGTAATAATAAACCACAAAAATGTGCTATACAAGTTACATTTTAAAAGTTAATTCTCCAGGCTTCAGTTTCCTAATAAACTAAATAGGAACAGTCTCCCACCTGGGCACAGGCTACCACAGAAGTGGTCAGCAGCAGGACCTGGGCTACCCACAGGGCACTTTTTCCTATCTCTCTCACAATATGCCACAAAACATGTTCCCAAAGCAAGCTGAAAGAGGCTTACTTGGAGACAGGAGGCTGGCCTAACAAAACAGAGACTGGAAGCCTACTACACCACACCTAATTAAATATTTAACCTAGCTATTATGTGGGCATCAACTCAAAATGCTTCCAATTGCTTTCCACTATTACCAGGCAGAAGTTTAAAAAACATAAATTTTACCAACACCACTTCATACTAATCTTACTTCTAGAGAAAATTTTTGGGGCAAATCAAAAAAACTATATTTGCTGCATCTCTACAATACTGCAGCAACTTGTAAACTGGATAACTATTAAACATGCAATTTTTTGCCAACATACTTGTTTTATAAGAAGTAACATAATAAAACTACATCTATGTACAGGTAAGTGGTTAAAACCAATTCCTGTAGAATCACCAGAAATAGATCCAAACCCTGAGTCTGTCGTGTGCTAACTCAGTCACACTGCACAAATCTGGCACATACTCCTTTTCATGATCTGCAACTTTAGATGAGAAAGCAGTTTGAGGGTTTGAACTGTCTTTTTCACACAAAGCCCACCTTAAGGAGGCCAGCACTGATAATGATTATTACTATTACGTAAGTGTGGGTCAAAAGTATGTCTACAGCCAGAGGTTTTTGATGCTGTTTTGTTTTTGGTTTTTTCGGTGTTGTTTTTGTTTGTTTTGTCTAAAATCAGACTACTAAAATTTTGTTGTTGCTAACCTTTACTAGTAAGTGCATCTCATTATAAGCTTGAAGAGGTAATGAATTCTTCCAATACTCTTCCACTGGCACAAGATTATATGCTAATCAGTACTTAAAACACCACACTATCACTAAATACTTACTGCATACTAAATCCAATTATAAGCAGCACCCCTACATGGCATCATTTGATCATGAGAAGATTAGATATCATCCACCTTTTATAATGATGACTCTGAGGTATGAAGGGCTGAATAATTTCACAAAATGAAACCTCTACCCAAGACAGGATGCAAATCAAACCAGATTCCAGAGTCCTTGCTTTTAACCACTAATACTGCTGGCCTTCTGCCTCCTTTAACAACACTAACTTCAATCACACTGCTATGTAGCTTCTTGGACAATGGGTGGTTACATTTCTAACCTCTTGCACCTCTTGACTTGTGCAACAATGTATTTGCAAAATGTCTAATTCATAGAATGCAAATAAATTTTGATTAAATTCAGAATGCTAATCATCAACTGCACCACTATAAACATACTAAAACAGAAGAAGAAGTTCTCTACATTAGCAAATGGAATTATAAACCATACAGGCCATGTCAGAGATGCAAATCAGATTCTATATTTAGTAGTCATCTGATTGTCAACAAGACTGTTTATACAAAGTTTTATGATAAACAAGTAATAATGTATCTGCTTTAAGAAGGGAAAAATACAAATGTTGATTATTGTACCTAGATCTTGAAGTAACCAGAAGCAGATGACTTCCTTTCTGCTATTTCCACTACCAGAAATAAAATCTCCAACTTAATGATGGTGTACTCCCAACCCTTCACTGTGGACTAGCTACACAAACATGCAGAGCTGAAGATGCCTCTGAGGCAGAGTGCTTACCGAGTAGTGTGAGGCTTGACCATAAGAACTACCAGGAAGGAAAGGAGTGAGAGACACTTCCCCTAAACACCCGTACATGGCTGTCCATGGAATAGTGCTAGCCAAGATTTAAGATGAGAGCTGAATATCTCTCAAAAATCTAATGCCTATAATCCATGCTACTCAGGAAGCTGAGGCAGGAGGATCAAGGTCAGACTAGGCAACAAAGGACCTCATCTATAAAACAAATTACTCTTAGATAAGCTATGATGGGGGAGTATTCTTTCATAAGAATAATTTTAAAATATTAAATAAACATAAAAGGCAACAAACACAAAATGAGTGAGTTTACATCTAACTTAAAACCTTTGAATATCAAACAAAACAACAGAGTAAATGGGCCACATTAACAACAGATATGAGAGAAAACAGATGAAAAAACATTTATCTGGAAAAGTGTTAATATCTACTGTATAGAATTTCTAAACTTAAAAAAAAAGAATTTCTAAAACTTAACAGCAAAATCTTATTCTAAAAAATAAATAAACAAGCCATGCACAATGGTGCACACCTTTAATTCCAGCACTTGCACAGAGACAGGCAGATATCTGTGGGTTTGGGGCCAGCCTGGTCTACACAGTGAGACCTTGTCCCAAAAAAGAAAAGAAAAGGATAATAAACAACTTGAACAAAGACTTCTCAACACAGAAGATGCACAAATGCCAACAAGTATATAAAAAGATGGTCAAAGATGGTCAATATTCAAATCTAAAGCAGTGAGCTCTGATCCTTTATTTGATCCGTACACTTTTGAAAATGTGATTGAAGACACACAAATCAATAAGGAATAAATAGTAGATTCATCACTAGCAGAATATGGAAAGAAGTTCTTCAAAGTAATACCAGATTGTCCAGAAAACCCACCCACAAGAACGAAAGGTGAGTAGATGGTTGGTTATAAACGGCCAGTTGAAGGACTCCCTCTCCTCCTGTCTTCTCCCACTGGAGAAAGGATCACAGAAGGGGATGGTGTGCAGTGTCTGCTAAGCTGAAACACACCGTCCTGGAGACACAGCAGCTCTCCCAACTTTCAAGACTCAGGAATCTCAGAACAGACTCACAAGGTTCCCCGAAATGACACATCAACACTGACAACTGCTGCTCAGGAGAGACTTCTTTGTGCCAGCTGAGCAGAGAGCTCCAGGGATCAGGTTTTAGGAGTTTATCACCTATGCCGGGTGAATACTTCCCTCACCCATGATAATCTAAATCAGTGGTTCTCAACCTTCCTAATACTGCAACCCTTTACTACAGTTCATGTTATTGTGACCCTAACAGTAAAATTATCTTCATTGCTACTTCCTAATTCTGCTGTTATGAACTCTAATGTAAACATCTGATATACAGGATATCTGAGATGCAACCGCTGTGAAAGGATCATTTGTCAGGTGGAGACCCACAGGTTGACAAACACGCTCTAAATAAACCCTCACCTGACCCACCTTCCCATGAGCAACTACAAGAAACTCGCTAGTTCTCCAACCTGGACATCTTTGTTCTGTCATCAGTGCCCCACCTCAAGTAAATTGACATTGTTCATGCCTCCCCCCCAAAAAAATACCAAAGCAGGAAGGAAGGGAGTTTTTGAAGAGGAAAGGGTATCATAGTGACTTGTCTGGCTATTTTTTTCAAATGGAAACATTTCTTCCTAGAGGGAAGAGGAAGACTTCTAAAATTCAAAAAGCTAATGAAGTGTACCTTAGTTAGAAAGCTCTCAGTGTTAGATGACTAATAGCCACCCCCCCCCCAACCGTTAGGAGTAAGGGTAGAGCAGCCAACTGTGCAGGGAGCTCCAGGAATGCATCACACGAGAGTTGTCGCACACACTAAGGTAGGATTTCCAGTGGTGCTGGTGCCTTCAAGACACTCAGACTCCTACAAGTAACCCTAATGTACTCACTAGCTCCCCAAGACAGACTTAGTAGAATCATTTATTCGTCTGTTGTCAGTGTCTAAAGTCAATGGGAGTTTGTTCACATCTCCCCCAGGAAAAGGCACACAACAAAATGAAATGGAGATCCTGTGAACAATCACTAAGACGATAACTCAGAAATAACTTGAAATCAAAAGAAAAAGGAGATTTAAACTCTCTATTAAATACAAAGTAAATGGCAGAGACACACCAGAAGAAAAAAAGACATTAAGACACAGAAAGTAATTTGAAAACGAAAGATGAAAATCCAACCATAAAAATATAAGAACTGAACATAAAAGGATTAAATACTCCAACTAAAAGGCAAAGACAGATGATTTAAACCTGTAAGAGATGTGAATATAAAGAAACACTTCAGATATGAAAATACAAACGTAATGAAAATAAAAAATCAAACTGTATATTGTTCTAGTTTGTTTCTACTGCTGTGACCAAACACAGGTCCCTCTTCAAGAGGGACCTGAAGAGGACAGGTCACTTGGCTCACAGGTTACAGTTCATCGTCACGGCAGAATCCTGGAGCAGGAACTGAAGCAGAGGCAGTGGAGAAATGCTGCTCACTGACTTTTCCCTGGTTTGCTCAACTACCTTTCTTAGACAGCCAGAGATGGCACCTGCCTAGAGATGGCACCTGCCTAGAGAAGGTACCACCCACAGCAGGCTGGGCCTCCCTACAGCAGTTAGCAATTAAGGAAATGCCCCATGGGTTGTCCACAGGCCAAGCTGATGAAGGCAATTCCCGACTGAGCGTTCCTCCTCCCAGGTTTGTCAAGTGAATAATAATTATCAGATAAGATAGACACCATAGTGGGATACAGAAAAAAGTTGATAGAAAAGATCAAAAGAGTTGGAGACCATCCTGGACTACATGAAACCTCACCCAAAAATATGAAAACCTAATAGGGGCAGGCCTGAGTGATGGCTCAGTGAGTAACAGTTTGTACTAGGAAAATCTGAGTATCCAGTTCAGATCCCTGTACTCATAAAAAAATAAAAATAAAAAAGAGGCACAGTCACACGAGAGACTTGTAGCCGTCAGTCTAGCCCCAGGCTCAGTAACTACCCTGCCTAGAGAAGCACGGCGGCGAAAGGTGACAGCAGTGCACAAAGTGTCCTCCTCTGGCCTACACTCACACAGAGGGACAAACACATGCACGAGCCAATGTGCACACACCTCATACACATATGCCATGCTCACAGGCACCACGCTCACAAACACGTAAATACATACACACACACAGCCACACCAAATAAACAAAAAAAAAGGTCAAACTGGACATGTTACAGTGATAAAAAGATAATTCATGAAGAACATGTAAAATATACAAGAAGTCACAAAATACATAAAGCAAAATCTAACAAAACTGCAAAGAGAAAAAAAACACCTCACAGGAGCTGGAAAAACAGCTCAGTGGTTAAGAGCACTTGTTCTTGCAGGGGACCCACACTGGGCAGCTCACTATCATCTCTAACTCCAGGAGATCTAACACCTTTGTCCTCCAAGGGCACCAGGGCGCTGGCCCGGTCAAGCCTGATGACCTCAGCTCCATCACCTGGACCTGCCTGACGAAGAGAACCAGCTCCTGCCCGCTGTCATCTGAAAGTCGAGTCTCATCACATCTGCTCCACACTTTGTTAAGTTTCTAGCCATGCAACAATAAAAATAAAAACTAAAATTATCAATGGTATCAAGCACATTATATACCAATTTTAAAAAAACTGGCTTAAAAGATCCAAAAGTAGCATTACTTATAATGGCATATGCAATCAGTCTGAATAAATCTACCAAAATCTGTTAGATAAATTAGAAAAACAAAAGTCTCTTAATCAGGATAGGAATAGTCCTAAGCACAAAAGCAAACACTGATATAATGGACAATAAATTTATGAACTTCTATTCAAAATTATGCCTTTAAGAAAGTAAAAGCAACAAGCAGCAAACTGGGAGATGCTATGTTAACACATATATCTGACAAAGACCTCATTTCCCAGATACAAAACAGTAGCCAGAGGTATAGCTTAGGCACAGAAGGCAAGCTTAATTCATGTGAGCTCCTGGATTCAATACCAGAACCAAACAACATAAACAAAATAAATTCTTACACAGCATTTAGAAAGGGCAAATATTCTCATCTTTCCCCTACTCTGTCTCCAAAAAAAAATCAGAATCTAACAAAGATATCCAAATGATCTGCCAATAAGCATTAGGGATATTCAAAGAAAATACAATGGCGTATCACTGCACATCCACCAGAAGCCAAAAATTCAAAGCAACAAACATACCAAGTAGGAATAAAAATGTGAAATAATTAAAACCACCATAGTATGACCATTAATACACTCTGTTATAATATACTATTAAACTATTAGCAATACATACTAAGAACCAAATATATGGCTACTTCCTAGGTATGTACTTAAGGAAAACTACTGCTTATGTATATATAAAAAACCTACTGTTTATGTACATTTAAGCATGTTCATAGGAACTTTCTTCATAAGAGTCAAAAATATAAACAACCAAAAGTGCTACAGATAGAACAGATAAATTGTGGCACTCTTTGCTTTTTTTTCAAACAGGGTTTCTCTGTGTAACAGCCCTAGTAGCCTGAAACTCACTCTGTAGACCAGGCTGGCCTTGAACTCACAGAGATCCACCTATCTCTGCCTCCTGAGTGCTGAGATTGAAACCTATACCACCAACAACCAGCTAAATTGTGGCCATCTTATACAATGATTGAAAACCAAGAACAAACTACTGCTGACTCAACAACATAGGCTAATCAAAGAAGCTAGACAGAACTCAGAAATTACTCCAATTTAGCTGAGCCTCAAGAGTACGTAAATAAATACACAGATAAATAATTAAAACACTTCCTTGACAGAAATAAAACTGCCAGTATATATAGCAGAACACTTGACCAGCATGCATGAGTTCCTAAATCAAATCCTTTGTACGCATAAAAAATTCAGAAATGAGATTAGCAGTGTCTTAGGAGTCAGGTGTGTTAGCTACACAGGAGAACCTTGTAGGGCGCTAGAAGCATCCCATGTCTCCATCTTGATGGTAAATTCACAGATACATCTGTACCTAAAGTTGTACTTTATTAGGATTTGTTATCATTTCTAAAACAGTAAATGAAAATAAAAGACATCCCATTGAGCCCGAGGAGGAATGAGGAAGGATCTGAGTTTCTTGGGGCTTTGTCTAGATTATCCAATAACATGACAGAGCACACATCACCACCATCAGATCAAGTCTCCCTATCTCCTACAGAGCAGCTGGTCTCTGGTTCTTCAGCTTCCACAGATAATCTGTACCCTCAAGCAGAACCAAAGTACTCGGCATATGTTACTGATAAGTGTGGTAAGTGAATTAATAAATACGTGAACTGTGAAGTCACAGTTCATTTGCATCAAATCATTTTAATGCTAAAAGAATAGGAGATGATTAATAAATATGTTTCCAATTTTATCATCATTCTCAATCTGTGTCTACTCAGTCTCTGAGGATGCCATCGGTAATGTCATTTTTCCTGGTAAAAAGGGAACAAAACTTTCTTTGACATGTGTGTGACCTTGCTGTCTTTCACACTCGTCCACTGACCAAAAGTAGAACAAGAATGCAATGCTTTCCAGCTTCATTTAAAATTGTGCCTGCGCATATCTGGCAATGCTTGGGAACTGAGTAAACAGGATGGAAAATTCTGCTAACAAGAACAACAGAACTGTTTTCCTATCAGCTGGAAACCTTTGGGAATCCTAATAAAACAAAACCCTCACTAAGCAGAAAGCCTCGTTTTCTTTGCTATAAGAAGTCTCCAGCTAGACAGTAGCCAATATACACTAGCAGGAAACTTGTCATTCAAAACATAGTAAACAGATCATGTCCCCGGAGCCTGAGGTGTTTCCAATGACAGCTGTACGACATACCTGTTCCAGAACATCTAACTTTAATTCGAGTTTGCTGAGAACCACGTCCCCACCCCATAGTGAAAGCTGGAGATCCGAAGGCTTCAAGTTCTTGATATAGCGATTCACATAGCTCATTAAAATTGGAGTTACGTATGACTCCAGCATCTTCAAAGTTAGGAGTCAAAGGCGAATCCTGAAAGGGGTAAAGGCAGAAATGTTGTAAGTGTCTGAATCGGCCGGCAGCGAATGGAAAAGCACTTCTCAGGAGGGCTGGTGAGGCCGACGAGCGGCCCTCCGCGTCCGGCCGCCACCTCCCCGCTAACCGCGCGCCTCACCTGGCCTGGAGTGGGCAAAGGGGGCGGCGACGGCAGGCGACGGCAGGCGACGGTCCCCCGGCGTGGAAGGAGCGGCCCCCTTCACTCCCGCTCTTCCGCAGCCCAGCCGGCCCCTGAGGCGCTCGACTCCCGAAACGCAGCCGGATCTCCGGCCATGGAAGCCGAGCTGGC